GCTCAGCGGCCACATCTCTATGAATCAGGTAGGTCAGCAGCTGTGGTTTTCATCTCAGAGCCAGGTAGAGAAAGGATGACTCATAATACAATAAAGAATTTTGCAGATAGATCGGGCAGAGTAATATAAGGACATGCATAACTTTCCAGAGCAATTGGAACTTTTCTAACATTTGGAACCTGTTTAGTTCCTTTGGGATCAAGTTAGCAAGATCCATGAGGTGCCTCAAGATCCATGAGGTGCCTCAAGATCCATGAGGCGCCTCGAGAACTGACCAGGGGAGATCTGAATGTCAGGCCTGAGAGATCTATAGTTCACTGCGGGAAACACAGCTTTGCTTCTGCTGCCAAAACATCTTCTCTATCTTCACTCCAACCTCTTCTCAGTTAAAGATCAAGATGAAGCACCTGGGACTGGCGTTCTCTTCATATGTGGATCATGTGAGAAGACAGAATGTATTGAAATCCAACCTTTATAATAAGAGTAAGTCTGAAGACTCTAGAAACAGAATTAATAACAATACAAAACTATGTATATAATATGTATAATGGGTTACAGCAGGAGCAGAGAACTAAGGCTGTTTATAATGAAGAGCCATGGAAGCCAAGGAGACCATTACAATGGCAGTTTGTACAGTTCATCCCAACTGAGGCCTGATGAACAATCTTCATGGGATTAAAAAGTCAAAGTTAAGTTAGGAAGGAAAGAAAAACAGAGTGTGGTTTCCCTTTGAGTAAGACGAAAAGAGGCCAAGACACACACGAGTGAGTAAAAGGGAACCAGAGCCTATGAACACCACCTCCTTCATTCATCCACAAGCCTAGCCTTCCCTGGACCTGGCCAGGACCCAGCCAGACAGAAGGTAGGTCCTGGCAAGGACTTGGGATGGGGATCTGGGAACAGAACTCAGCAGGGGGCTTGACCGAACAGAACCGAAGGAATGTAGGCCAGATGAATCTCATATAGACAAAGACTGGAGAGATGGCTGAGCAGTTGAAGCTCAGATCCCCAGCACCTCTGCAAAGGAGAGTGGCTGTGATGACCCTCCCACAACCATTAACTCTCCAAGGCAGCGACAACAGATCCTTGGAGCAAGGTGCCTAGCTAGACTAGCTGAAACAGTGAAAGACCTCACCTTAAGGTGGAGAGCAATCAAGGAAGACACCTCATGTCATCTTCTGGCCTCTACATGTGTGCACACACACACGCACACACACACACACACACACACACACACATTCACACACCCCACACTCATGCACTCACACATGCATGCACAAGCACCTATACAATTTGGAACATGAGGACACACATAGACCACATATACATACATGAAAGAAAGAAAGGAAAGAAGGAAGGAAGGAAAAAGGGAAGGAAGGAAGGAAGAAAACAAACCTATAAACAAAGACCTTTCCTTTCTGTGACAATCTCAGACAACACCCTGGGAGTGAGGAGGGGCAAGACTGAATTCCAGCACTATGGCCTCACTGATGGCTAACATTCGTTGCTCATTTGATGGGATTTATACAGACTTCTGAGCATATCTATGGGGCATCCAGAGGTCTCAGTGAGATGGGGGGGGGACTGATGTGGATGGCACAGTTCCTGGAATCTTCCCTGGAATAAGGGCTCTGATCATGGCAGAGAAGACATGTAACCAATAGGCTGACACCCAGGCAGTTCTTGAAGGTCCCTATCCCAGGCCCAGTTTGTATTCTCGTTTTATACTCTAAAACAACAAGGGGAGGCAGGCTATCAAGCAAGGGTTTACAGAAGCCTATGAAGCAGTCAGCAGTTTGTGAAGGGCTATTTCTACGTGCCATTCTGTTTCAGGTAGCAAGTGATGTCATGCTTGGCATTAGAATCAGCACTTTAAGGAAGTCACTTGGGAAACCAATAAATCAATACCTAATCATTGACCTTTCCTATGGTACTCTACTTCAGCACCCTCCCCATGGTCTAGGAGAGAGGGAGTGGAACACGAGCATTCATCTGGCTTTGCTTCCTGACTGTAATCAACAGCCTCCCGTTCCCACTCCCACCCTTGCCTTCCCCTTCAGGGTGGGCTATACCTCCAAACCTTGAGCCAAAGTAAGCCCTCCCTCCCTTAAGCTGCTTCTGTCAGGTCCTTTACCGCAGCAATAAGGAAGGCCTTACAACCTGTCGCTGATTTCATTAATTTCATTAATTCAGGTGACCTAGGATTACTAATACCTGCAAATAGCCACCTGCCAGCTGCAAAGGGCTGTATGGAAGAAGAGTCTGCAGTTTTTCATGGAGAATGTCCAGCACGCCATGAAAACCACCAGGCAGGAGAAGAACACATGCCTGATAATCAAGTAAAAACAGACAATAGAAAAAGACCTGGGAAGCTTGTAATGTCAGACATAGACTTCAGAATAATATTCAGACAAATATTCCCGAAGGTTGGGAGTTTTGACAGGCTATGAACTATTCAAACAAAGAACAGACACACCAAAGGAGGTACTTGGTAACCCGGAAGGTAAGCTGAAGGAAAGGCCCCACTATGGAACACGGTGTGACGGATGGGCAGAAAATAAAAAAGAGGCGAGGAGACATATGGAAGAAAAGGCAAGCGTCGAAAGTCCCTGTGAGGAAAGGTCCAGAAGGAGAAGAAAACAAGAATAGAGAAGGAATATATAAAGAAGAAATGGCCAAGATTGACCCCAAAACTGACAAAACCCGTCAAACCACAGACTGGGAAAAAAAATCGCTTGATCCAAACCCCATACAGAATAAATACAAAGATAATGACATCTAATTATATCATTGTACAAGTGCTGAAAACTGAAGACAGAGAATGTTAAAAGAATAAGAAGGAGAAAAGGCATTTTAAAGAAGTAAGGATAAAACCCGGTTTCCAAAAAAACTGATGTAGTTAGACACTGAGATAATATCTTCCATGTGCTAAAAGAAAATACTGCCCAATATGAGATTCTACACCTACTAAAACAAACATACTATGTTTACAGCCATGGGGTAAATAAGTTTTAGGTGCAACACAAAATAATCTTTGCCGTTGCCGACTTACGTGCTGGAATACTGCAGGATATTCCTCGGGTAGAAGGAAAATGGCAGCTAGAAGCCAGGACAGTGAGGTCAGAGAGAAGAGCAACAGGAGACACATCTAGAGGCAGGTGGACTCACAAAACAGTAACAAGTGTGAGTATGAAAATGGAAAGACCAGGCGGCCTGGCGGTGATGGAGCAACGTGGAGGAGACAGACAATAAAAAGAGATGATATGATCTAAGGTTTTTGCGTATTCCAGGAAGTTATAGAACATGCATTGATTATTACTAGTATGGAGGGACTTGAATGAGCACAGGTACATTTTGTAACACCTGATATAACCACTAAAAGAATAGCAGAAGAAAGTAGCGCTAACAAATGGGTCTTTATGTAATAAAATGAACCTTACTTCAAAACCCAGCAAACTGAGGGGACATTTAAAGGAAAAGGTACAGCAGCTAAGGAGCTGTGGAGACAGCCCAGCAGTTAAAGGCTGTTCTTGCAGATGACCCAGACTCAATTCCCAGCACCCACATGGTGGCTCACAAACATCCGAATTCCAGTTCCAGGGGATCTGACGCCCTCCTCTGACTTTCATCGGCATCACTCCTGGTACACTCACCTATATGCAGGCAAAACACTCTTACACAAACGGTATATAAATGTATATACCAGGAGTCAGCCCCGAAATCATCTATATACTACTAACATGCAGCTTGAGCGGGTGGTGGTTATATACACAGGAATGTATGTAATAACAATTAAAGAAAAAGAGGCGAGCAGGTGAGATCAAAGTGGTAAGAAAAATGGGAGAACTAGAGAGAGGAAAGGGAAGGGGAAATGATGTGATTATATTTTAATTTCTCTATATATTCAATATATCCTATATATATTCAATATATATCCTAGACATATATTCAATATTTATATATTATATTTTAACTTCTATATACACTGAATATGTATAGAAAGTAAAATATATTAATTAAATAGATAATTATAAATATCTATAAACATTTAAAATTGTTATATATAAAATATAATATATAATTAATTTTAAAATATATATCTAGAAATTTAGATACAATATAAATATAACATATAAATGAATAAGTACATAAATCTTTAAAAGTTAAGAATTAGGCAGCTTTAAGTCTGCAGACATCATCACTGCCAGCCCCAAACACCTAACTGGAGAGTACGTCTGGGGCCAGCCAAGATGAAGCATTAGGAAACACAGTGGGAAAGAAAGGGAAGAAAGCTTCAGAAAAGTAGAAAACAGTGTATGCATCACAGGCTACGTTCCCTAAACTGTGTTCATAGTGAATTGAAGTGAGTGAGCTGGGCTGGCTTAAAGGACCCAGGTGACCAGACCAAAAAGGATTGAGAATTTTTAGCTCATGCCACTCAGCAACTACCAGCTTAAGACACAGCAAAGAATGCTGACAACGTTCTCCATTACTGGGCAGCCATGGATCACAACTTTCTGATACAAGACTGAACGGAAACCTCCATCTTACATACGCAGCAACGGAGACCTTGAAAAATTAAGTAACAAGCTCAAAACCGTGAAGTCAGTGCCCAGCTAGAGACTAAACCCTCTCTCCAATTCCTCGTCCCTGACTCTTTCAGCCAATGCTCTCTTAAACTCCAGTCAGTAAACAACCTCTACAATGTACCAAACCCATAGTGGATGAACTCTCAGACCAGTGGCTAAGGGACAGGCAGGAGCTATGGATGGTGGTAGACAGAAATCTGGACAAAGTGCAGGTTTGTCCTTCTGGGAACTCCAGCCTGGAGGACGGACCGGAGCAACACAAAGAAATAAGTGCATTAAAGCGCAGGATAGGAACTATGAAGCAAGGGCAGAGTTGACATCTGCAGCCCTCTGAACAGAAGGGGGAACAGAAGCCACCAGGCTAGCAAGAATGGGAAAATGGGGACTGAGACAGGCTATCCTGTCCCTTACCTTTCTGGCCAGCACAGTCAGCCCTGTAACCATTAGGCAGATGAGTCCCAGCACTGCAGCCATGGTTCCTCCAAGCAAGGCCATCTGGAACTGATCCACTACAGGGAGAACGGGTATGCAGCAGAGGTCAGGAGCAAAGCTGCCTTCTCCAGGGAAGCCTCATTGTCTCACACAACCCCAAACAGTGCCTGTCCGTGGGCACTTTGATCTCAGCCCTTGAGAGTCAAGAGGCAGGCAGATCTCCGATTTGAGTCTCAGGCCAGAGGAGGGATTCTCTAGAACTGTCGTCTACTGGGGTCTTTAACCTTAACTCTCTGGTCTGCAGAGAATCCACCTGGTCTCCAGTGGCATCAGTGGCCAGCGTCCCAAGAAGCAATGTACCTTATGTACACTTGAGAGCAGATTTTGTTATCCTTTCCCCTACTCAACACTTATCGTCAGGACTCATGAAATGAAACAAATAATGTCATCTACATGGAAACTCGGGAGGGATGGAAAGATGGCTCAGTGCTTAAGAACACCGGCTGCTCTTCTAGAGGATCGAAATTTGATTCCCAGCACCTACATAACAGCGCACAACCATCTGCATCTCCAGCTCCAGGGGATTCAAAGTCTCCTGACTTCCACAGACACTAGAACACAGTTGTGCACAGACATGCATGCCGCCAAGACACCCACACACATAAAACAGGTAAACAAATAACAAATATACAATAAAACATATATATATGTATATATAGCAGTAAAACAGGTTAAAAAGTCCACAAATAAACAATAAAAGAACAACATATATATATGTATATATATATCAGTAAAAACAGGTAATTCAAAATGGAAACAAAATTAACATTGATTTACGCAAAGGAAAGCATGTAAGTTTTCACCTTAGCCCTATAGTCCAGGTGTAAAACCCTGGAAGGGTTGAGGCTCTTACAACCTTATCTTCTGCGGTTTTCACAGTCCTTGGTACATAATAGATGCTTAATAAAGAACTGTGCTATATTGAAGAAGAATGATTTCAGGGACACTTCCTCCCACCTTTCCTTCTCCAGGAACTTGGGCAGGACCCCCAGAGTCCTGGGGAGACTTGAAACAAGAGAAGGCCCCACTTCCCTGAGCTCCAGGTTTAGATCATAGGAAAGCAGACTACAGTGACTGAGCCCTCAAGACAAGGAGCATGCCTGGGAAACCCAAGTTCCCAGGGTGCTCCTCCTGTTCTGAGGACTTAGCCAGGGTAGGCCTGGCTGGTCCCTTGTTGGCCATAGGCACGGCTCACTCAAGAAGAAAGGGGAGAGAAGACCAGGACGTGCACACCGCGCAGGTGCCAAGGGGCTAGAAGGCTCACTGTGAAAAGAGAGGACATGGTCAGAAGAAGAGACAAAAGCACCTTGCCAGGCCAGGTCCGTGCTGGGTTCTCTTAAAGCTGAAGGGTCAAACAAGAAACAGCTAGACTCATCATGAAATTTTAGGGGGGACTGCAATAATGAATATGGTCAAATCTAAAGGTAAAACTGAGGCACAAATAGAGCAGAGGGAGCTTGGAATGTTAAAATTTTCAACTTCACTAATAATTTTTGGTTTAAAGTAAAAACACTGATTCTTCTGTCCATAGCCACAGTTTCAGAACAAAGACTTCAAGATCTTGGAAACTAAAAGAGCCTCCAGGCAGGCAGGACAGCCCGGTAATCTGCATTAGACATCCATTACTATGTGTGGTACTGACGATCAAACCCAAGGTTTGGCTCTGTGCATGCCGGACACCCAATCTAACACTGAGCTACATCTCCAGCTCTGCTTAGAAAATGGTTCTTATGATGCAGCTACTAGGGCCTTGGGCCAGTGTTTGGGATCAGTGTCAGTAGAGGGAGCAGGGATGGAGTTGATGTAAGTAATTAAAGGAGGGTTTGCCTTGAGGGAAACAACTGACTCCTGACAGGCAGGAGGGGAATTTCACAGAACCAGTGGTGTTCCCTGGAGCTTAAAGTTATAGGAATGGTGGAAGCACCCAGGGTCTGGGGTGGAAGCTGGAGAGGGGTGCATGCAGCAGACTATGAGAGTGATGAAGAAGCCCGTGCCCTCACATCCCTGTGGCCACATCAAGGCTGCTGGGTCACTGTAATCAGGAAGGTGTTTACATGCCAGTGTCATCAGGCCCTGAATGTTCTGCCCCAGATGTGAGCAAACTCACAAGGCTCCTGTCTGGCCTCTGGTTCTGAGGCCTCAATCTATTGGACCTGCAGTCTGGTGAGAGGCTGTAGGAAATACCACATTGGGGTAAAGAGTCCACATGGCCACCACGGGGTTAGACTCGATGGGAGCCAGGTGTCCTGCCCTATTTACTGTGCAAGCCTCCTCTGAATAGCTGGGACACACAACTCTGTCCCACGATCCTATTTGTAACAACTCATGAAATTATTTGCCACACTTCACAGGCCAAACATACAAATTTTTTTACATATCATAATTACCCAGGACAATGACAGTATTTTGTCCCAGGCTGTTTAATTCTAAGAACTTGGGCTCTTGGCTGCTCATTGTATTAGTTCTGTGATGGAGCCAGACAAGAACACACACTACACACACACACACACACACACACGCACACACATGTTCTTAACCTAAACTGATGGTAAGCAGTCCTGAGTGTGTGTTCCATGGAGCCAGAACATCTGTGTTAAAATCAGCTTTATCACTTTCCTGGTATTGTACTAAGGGCTTTTTTTGTATAGTAGTTTGTTTAACCCTACATTAGCGCCTCATAAAATCTTAACCCATTCTCAATGGCCAGATAAGAAAAATGAGGCCAACAGCAAGGTTTGGACCCAGGCTGTCTAGCATCAGCAGCTGAGAATTTTTCTATCCTGCTAAACTATCTCTGAGATATGATTTTAATAATCCTTTCCCTCAGTAAAATTGGCTTGTGTTTGCAGGAGAGTAAATCATTATGAGGACATTCAGAAGTTTTAAAGCTTCACCACACAAAGGTTGGTGATTATTATACATTTACTCTGAACACACACTGTGCCTTGTTTTAAAGCAGCTCCAAATTTAAGAGCTAATTCTAATTTGCATCACTGATACTAAATCTTTAAATGATTGAATTTCATGTATAACCTCATCGGTGGGTCTTATAAGTTTAGATAAGATGTATTTCCTATGCAAAACCAGTGGTTGTGTGTAAGAATCAGATGGATGTTTCCGGAGCATATCAGACCCTGCTCTGCCCCTACAAGACTCTAATTTCATCAGCTTGAGTTGCTCTATCTTTCCTATGCCCCAATAGTCCCTCTGGTGAGTTCAGCATGCTCCAGGCTCTGTTTCCTAGATTGTCTCAGGATAGTGTTTTCTATGTGAGAGAAAGTAGCTCATCAGTACCCTGCTTCAAAGGACATACCTGAGCTTTCTTGGATCTTCAGGAATATTCTTCCCTTGTAAATCCCATCAGGATAGGTGTGGTAGGTGCAGAAGTACTCTCCTGTGTCATTCATTGTCAGTGACTGGAAGGTAAGGCCTAGGCTAGGGCCTGGGACAACCCGCTCACGGAAGTCTGGAGAGACATGCCACCCCAGGTCAGCACTATAAATGGCCAGAAGCTTCCCCTGCTGCTCCCAGTTGACTTGGGTCACTTCAGCTGTGTTGGAGGAGAACTGACACTGTAAGATGACAGAGCCACCTTCTTCTGCAGAAATGGTCCCCTTTGTCTCTATCGTGCCTGCCTTGGCTCCTATGGGAGAAGAGAAGCGCACATGAGTCTCTAGTCAGCAGCTGCCCTTCAACCCTCCTGAAGAACCTCAGGGAGGTCAGAGGCCAGAACTGGCTCTAAGAACAGAAGTCCATAGTGGGCTGTTTATCCAGGCAACCCCACCCCCACCCCAATAGAGACTACCATCGCTTTCTGTTTCCTTTATTTCAAGAGTCTCTCCTCTTTATGCCTGTCCTTCAAGGTTCAAACTCCCAGCTGTTGCCCATTTCTAACCTTGTTGCCCTTTTCCATGCGCTCCATTCCAGCCCAGCAGTCCCTTCACTCCTGCTTCCAGAGCTTGCTTCTGAACCCCCCCCCCAGCTCATCCTTACTGCTTTGTGAGAGCTGTGCTTCCCCCTTCATGGGCTTATTACACCTTCCCACTTAGAATATCAGCCCTCTACCGTCATATTGTGTGCTTCTATACAGTTTCCATGGTCTATTCATGTATCAAGTCTTATCCTTTGAAATAGATCTGGGCTATTTGATTGGCATTTGATGTCAGGGAGACAGAGAGAGAGAGAGAGAGAGAGAGAGCCCATGGAAAGAAAACTTGGAAAGAAATTCTACTTCTCAGCCAGAAGTGACAGTATATGATTTTAATCCCAGTACATGGGAGACTGATGCAGGAGGATCATAGTGAGTTCTAGGCCAGGTGGGACAATATATGAGTTCCAGACCAGCCTTGAAAACATAGTGAGACTCTATATCTGTCAAAGAAACAAAGTAAAGTAAAAGAGGAAGGGAGGGAGGAGGGAAAGGGAGATTAGAAACAGTGAAAAGAAAGAAGGAAGGGAAGAAAAGAGGACAGGCGGGCAGCGTAGAAGAGAGAACAGGAGAGAACAGGACAGGACTTCCCCCAGATGACACCACCTTCTTCACTGCTTACCACCACCCTCCACCACAACCACAAACTCCCCCAACCCCCGAGCTACTCTCTACCCACAGAATGTTTTAAGTTCAGCTGTTAAACTAATTTGTAGTATAGTCCTTAAATATTTTGTTTTCCTTCCCTCCGAAATGTTTACCTACAGTTTCTAAAATAATAGAAACACAACAGGATTTAGTCTGTGGTATTAGACTAAAAAGCCTATTAGACTCTGAAAAGCCGGGAAACAGGAGGCTTCTTGGCTCCCATCTTAGTCCATTCCCTAGCTTCCTTCTTGCACAGCTGGCCAGCCAGACACCCCAACACAGAAGTCCTTCCTCTGCAATCATCCCTTCTTAGCGGCTGTCCCTTCCCACATGGTCACACAGGGCCTCAGAACCACCTGGCACACACGCAGGTGGCATGTCCTCAGGCAGTCTTCTCTACCTGAGCACCCTGGTCTCTGTGCCAAGCTCTCCTCCCTGCTCTTCTACGTGTGCAGACCTTACCTGCAGCGAGGAAGGCAGCCTGTATCAGCCTCTGGACCCAGATCAGGAGCAGCCAGCCATTCATGCTGCTAAGCAGAAGACCTACGGGAAAGCAAATGTCGCCTCTCCTCTGACTGAAACTGGCCCACCAAAGGTGTCAAGGTGAAACTATGCCTGTGTGAAGAGTGTGTCAGAAACACTGAGCTAGGTAAGGGCAGTGTCAAAACATATAACTCAGTAAGGGTACAAGCTGCATAGAACGAGCCACAAGAAAGACCATAAAGGAAACGCACTGAAAAAAATAAATAAAGCATGTGGTTAGAGGTATGCGGGTCTTGGGTGACTCATAGTCGATCTGCTGTTTTTAAGTTATCTTGATGCACTTTTGGAAACACCGACTTGCATCTAAATCATCCAGTGGCATGTAGGTGATGCACCAGATTCTGGAGAACTACTTTTGATGAGTCAGGCCCCTGACAAATGTGTAACCACAGGAGGAACTTAAGTGTGGGTACTTTATAGAACGTCACTGGACTTAGAAGCTAGTGGCTGGGGACAATCCATGAGTGAGACAAAGGCCCCGGATAAACAGCAAAAAGTCCTATTTTCCGCTCTCATTCCTTTTGTGCTGTTATTTTCCAGGTGTGCCTTTACTTGCATTGAGAGCCAGCTTCCCCAATGCAACAGAGCCAGCAGAGAGCAGAAAAGTGAGCTTTTCTGAAAGCTGCTGACTAAGCCTGGAAGTGGGTGGCACCATTCCCTGATCTTGGGCCCTGGACTATGTAAGAGCAGAGAGAAGTGACTGAGTGTAAGCCATTCATTCATTCACTTCCCTCTGCTCTTGACTCTGGATATGATGCCAATGGCTGCTTCAAACTCCTGTCACCTTGGCTTTGCTTCAGTAACAGACTGTAACCTGGCACTGTGAGCTAAAATAAACTCCCTCTCCTCTAAGTTGCTTTTTGTCAGGGCAGCAGCAACAGAAATGAAACTGGAATGTCATCTTTCCTTTCTCCCTGCCCCCTTTCTCTCCCATTCTTTTCACTTAAAAGGTCAAGAGGGTCCATAGAGCATCAGATAACGAGGGCAAGCAAGTTTTGCTCAGCACTGAAATAGTTGACAAAGCTTCATCTCTGTAAAGCCACTGGGGAGAAAAGATGGAGGGGACACGCTCAGCTATTACCTGGGCTCTTGACAGCACTATATTGGCCATAGCCCATGGTGTATAGCCTGAGTAATCAGGGGAGATCCAAAGCCCCATGTCCCGCCCATTCCACCCGAGTACAAATCATTCTCAGTATCCAGGTTTCTGCCCCTCTCTCCAGGGTCCTTTAGCTCACACCACTTTTCTCCCCTCCCTGAGTTCTGCTCACTCACAAATCTACACAGTGACTCATGTACCCTGTGCCCCGCCACCAGACCTGTAGATAGTGTCTGCCTTGACAGCTTCTCCATACCCATTCAAATCTTCAAGGCTCGGGTAATACTGCATCTCTACCATTTTCTGTTGTTGTTTTGCTTCTGAGACAGGGTTTCTCTGTGAAGCCTCAGTATCTTCCCTATAGACCTCACTCTATAGACCAGGCTGGCCTCAAACTCAACAGATCTCGCCTGCCTCTGCCTCCCCAGTGCTGGGCTCAAAGGCGTGTGCCACCAAACCCAGGTTCTCCACCACTTTTTAATATCCAGCTGAAGAAACAGTAAGACATGTGTCCAGGGTAAGATGCTGGGGCTAGACAAGATGAGTATTGTCAAATTTAGTTACCCAAGTGAACAAACCACAGATGCAAAGGCAGGTAGGAGGACTATAACACAAAAAAATTGGCTACCAAAACTAACAGTCTGCTCTTGTAGAATGGTGTGGGTAGAAACCAAAGAAATTAGACTTGTCTCGTTTGTGAAATGCCAAAACTGAAGAGCTGGGTTTTTTTTCTATTTTTATAATTTTCATTTTTTTAATATTAATCACAGGTCATTTACTTTGTATCCCAGCCATAGCCTCCTCCTTCATTCCCTCCCAATCCCACCCTCCCTCCATTATCTCATCCCTGTCCCTTTCCAAGTCCACTGATAGGGGAGGTCCTCCTCCCCTTCCATCTGACCCCAGCTTATCAGGTATCTTCAGGACTGCAATGTCCTCCTCTGTGGCCTAGCGAGGCTGGAAGAGCTGGTTTTAAAAAGGGGAAAGTTAAAGACTTTTTCTTGCCCAGAGGGATGGTTCGGTAGTTAAGGGTGAGCAGCACCACACATGACAACTTGAGCTGGATCACTGAGACCCACATGGTGGAAAGAGAGAACTGACTCTCACAGCTTGTCCTCTGGCCTCCATACTCAGCCCATGGCATGTGTGAGCCCTCACACCTATACCCATTCACCCGCACATACACACAAGATGTGAAAATGTTTGGAAGACTTTTTCTGCTGTGTCTGGAGGGATGGCTCGGCAGTTAAGAGCATGTGCTACTCTTCCGTGGATCCAGAGGTTGGATTCTAGCAAGCGCATCAGGTGGCTCATGCGTAGGAATAACAAATCCTTTTTAAAAGTCCTTTTCCGAAGAGGAATATGGTAGAAGAAGACCTGAGAACCCGAGTCTGCAGATGCCATGTCTCAGAGGGAAAGGGAGGTGAGAGTGGCCATGCCTTCCACAGGCCCGGTGACTTGTACAGGGAAACAATGCAGGGGTCTCTCAGGGGTGCCTTTGGGCTTCAGCTCTCATCAGTCACATATACAGCCCCACCCTACCTCCGGTTAGAAAAAGTGACAAGCACTTCAGACATCTTCTAGCTGTTTTGTCTCTCAGGTCCCTGCTTCTAACCAAAGGAAACAACCCTGCAGACGCAGGAGCCGGGCATGCTCTTCTCACCAGGTGCTTTCCATCTGTGTCCCTTGCACTAGGACCTCCTGATAGCCACCTGTATTGTGGCAGAGGACAGCAGAAGCCTCTACTTACCCTGCCCTCTGCAGGATGCAAGGACAGAAGGGATGAGACCAAGCCACTCTCAACCCTAGTAAGAAGATGCCTTTGTCCGGCCATATTTATTACAAGCTCCTCCTGGTGGAGTTGATGTCCCCAATAAGGTAGACCCAAAGCTACCTCAGAAAAATCACAGATTCAACCCAAAAGGAATATTTGGGATCTGAGGCTTATGAGTCTCACTGTGAGCCCTGGAGCCTATGGCTGACACCGGCTCACAGTGAATACAACTGCGGCTCGATGACTTTGTTCTTCACGTTCCCCCAAGGAGATGTGGCTGGGTCCCCACCACTCCCATACACTGCCAAATTCAGTGAACTCTGGCTGTTGCTCTGCCTTTCCAGCTCTGAAAACAGGACGGAAGGTCCTAGAGTGGGTGGGCATGTAAAGTGAGAAGAAAAGTCGCTGGAAGAAGCAGCTGACCTTGTCTCCTGAGCTTCAGCCTGTCACCACAGATCAGCTTCTCACTAACGCCCCTTCCTTTTTTCTTCCTGAAACTGCATCTCACTGTGGAGTAGTTAGACTATTCGATGCACTCGCTGAGGCTCAGTAAGGTGCATTTTATTAGCACAACATCACCATACATATCATTACAAATATGCAAATGGGACTTTGCAGTAGGGAAAAGAGTTAGGATCAACTCCAAATTCAGCACGTGCAAGTGGGAAGGGACAGCCAAGGAACGAGAGGCCACAGTGCTCAGAAAGCTACAGAGACAACCTCTGTAGGTTTAAATTTAAGTGGACTTCTTCCTAACCTGGCCTAACAGAATTCTTGTAGGTGACAGTGGAGGGGGACAAGATAACTCCGGAGAAGTGGTGAAGCAGACAGGTCACATAAGCATTGGGATTCAGACCCAGGAAATCAGGTTCTTGCTCAAAGTGATTTTGCAGGGTTTTACAGGAGAGTGTACACATGGGCTTAAAGGTTCATAATCTGACTCAATTTGGTGAAGCAAATAATCTCTGTCACTGTGTTTCCTTATGCTACCAAACCACCCCTTACCCTGTGAGAGCCAAAGTTATGTTTTAGGCTTTAATGACTGTGCCTAAGAGATCCATAAAACAAAAATGCCTCTAACCTGTAAGCTCCTTGGCTCCAGACACATAGATACTTCCTGAGATGCTGAAGGCTGATGTTCATATTAAATAACAAGCCACAGGTTTTCACTTCCCTAAACAAGTTCGGTTGACCCAGCTGCCACAGATGTGCTTGATCACACATAGGCAGGAGGAACACAGGCAGGAAGTACGTCAGGATGTATGCTTGCCTCCAGTTGGACGAAGGTGGGAAGGACATAGCCTTGTGGCTTTGCCTTTATAGGCACCTGAATAACCTAATTCAGCACGATTTCTCTGGGAATCCTGGGTATGGGCCTGGCCAGTGTCCATCTTCCTGGCCAGTATTTAATAAAGCTTGCATCAACTGAATGATTTGGATTCAGTTTTTCTCCTTTCATTTTTCAGGTTTGACAACCCCCATCCACCCCTGGAAGCTACTTCCTACTCCTTCTAGGCATCCAAGACAACTAATTCTGGGATTGAGGCACAAGTCAGCATAACTTTACAACAACTCTGGATCATGAAAAGCTCCCTTCACCACAACAAAGAGAATGGCAAGCCTGGATGATTTCACAGGGGGAACCAAGACCTTGAAATAGCAGGTTATTTCTCTGTTACTTAAAACATCCAGACATAAACATAGAGGAAAATTTTTAATTAATTCAATGAAACAAGCTGAAAGTTAAATAATTAAGATTATAAACAATAAAAGATGACTAAATTTCAATCTTTCAAATATTAAGGGAAAAATTCTTTAAAAAAGCATCTTTACACAAACTTAGGAACATATTAAGCAGAACATACAATGATAAGGTAGGGTTTATTCCAAGATGTTGAGAAAGATTTAAAACAAGAAAATCTATTAATATTAAATATTACATTTATATTTTAAAGCACATGGTCAATTCTTTTTATTATGATAAGAAGCCTGAAAAAAATAATCATGATAGAGTTTTAAAAAGCTCAATGAATAAAAATTAATCCATTCTTTCTTCCTTCAAATAATTGTGTACACTCAATTAGCTCAAAGTCAATATCTCTTTTGATGG